TTGGGATGCACTTCGTAATTGGCTTCAGCTCCAGTATAGAGCCCATCCTTTGTTTCCCCAGCTCTTCTCAATCCTGGCATTGTGTGAGAGCTGCTGCTGACTCCATCTTGGCATCAGAAAACCCTTCATTTTATTACTGCTTTCTCTTTTATATAGTATTCGGTGAGTCTTCCATGTCTTTTATGCGATGGCAAAGATAATGATGAAAGGAAGTGAATATTCTTTAGGGAACTGTGTTGAAAGTTTGACTGGGTGATGATAGGGATGATCTGAGATGGAAATGTCAGATGAGGAAAGATGTTAGAAGACTATGGGCCACTTAACCCTTTGTGGCTGAAGCTCATAGGGACAGAAAATTACTAACATGACTAATGCAGAAAATCATCCTGAACTTGTTACCTCCAGGCTTTGTGATTGTTCTTTGGGAAAGTCTAGTAATATGTATGAGAATAACTCATATACTTTCTGTGGACCAGCCCTGTGCCAAGTACATTATACACATGACTTCATTTCAGTTCTTACTGAGCTAGTGAGTAGCAAAACTGGGACTCAGATTCATATCTTCAGATCTGTTAACTTCAGAGATTGTATTTTTAAGGGAATGGCTCCATATAATTTTATCTGGAATGTGTGAAAAAAGCTGTACCATTTTTTCCACTTCAGTTACAACCAAAAAGTTACCGCTTCCTAAAAATCTGGTGTCCAAACACTTGGTTTACTTTAATATAGATAAAGGAGGAGATCCTTTCCTTCAGATGGTATTTTACGTTACCCAAAGTTCACCACAGTTGATTCAAGGAGACTGTAGTAATCTTTATCTATAATTAATTGTTCCATAAGATATGTCTTGTTTAGTGTTTTTCATCGGTCTCCAGGGATGACCACAGTGGTGGGATGGGAGCCAATACTCAATTACCCATGAAAGTGAAGTAGAGGGCAGGAAAGAATGCTGGTGACCGAAATAAGAGCTGGATGCATCGAAGCCCATGCCATGATGGCACTCCTCTCTTGGATGCCCGTCTGAACTCCCTTGTTCGGATGTGACTGCTTTTTCCTCTGCAGTCTCATCTGTTATAGCCACCTTCCCATATTAGTTAAGTGAGCGGTGGCTTGGAAAAACACAATCTCTAATAATCTCCATAATAACATTAAATGTGTTATTCTGATCAAAAGTGGCCATGGAGTTTTCTCTCATACCCGACTTCAACTGAATGGTGGGCCCAACTTCCTTTCTGTGTACTATGCAGTTCTTTGTGATTTCCTGCCTCCCATTCATTTGCCCAGATTGTTTATTGACAGCATGTACAGCTGTATGTTATTAGAGCCTCCTTTATGTGTTTGGAGAGACTGAGCCATGACATTCATTGAGATTTTTGTCCTTTTGTGCAAGCATTACCTTGAACTTGAAGTATACTACTATTCTGTGTCATTATGTACAGCTCAAGTATCATCCTGACAAGCTTTCTGTGACTTTGCATACTTCGTTCTTCTGATTCTATGTGTATGGGTGTTTGGATTACATGTTTGTCTGTGTACTGTGTGTATGACTGGTACCTGTGGAGGCCAGAGAGGGCAGCAGATACCCTGGAGTTGGAGTTACAGATGGCTGGGAGCTGCAATGTGAATGCTGGGGACCAAACCCTGGTCCTCTGCAAGAGCACCCACTGCTCTTGAGAGCTGAAACATCTCCCCAGCCTAGATTGTTTCTCCTTCAATGGAACACTGAAAAGAAATTTTTACTGATTTTGAATCCAAAGTATAAAAATTGGAAAAACATAATAAAAATAACATTAGTCTTGATTGGTCCTAGCACATGAGTACTTAGAGATAGTCCCAGTGACTAGGGCTTAATTACAAGCATTTTGAATTTTGACAGAATTGCCACTTAATGTCTGTTTTGTCCTTTCTGCTTAACCATGGAAGTATTAGTATAACAAGCGTTGTGGTCATCAGGAATCTAAATAGAATATTTTTAGTTAGGAAGATTGGAAAATTAAACAGCAGCTACAAGTGAGTGTATTTTTACTTAACCTTCACTCTTACTGAGGTGGGATCGACATGTTTCCTAAGGCTGTATTCTGATTTCGAGGGCTTAGCCTAGGCAACCTTAAAAGAGCTGCAGCAATGTCCCTAGGCTTGCCCTTGGACTTTTGTTCCTTGTAGCACACACTTCGGGAATGTGTTTCCCCAAACGCAGACTCTTGGGCTTGAGAGCCCTTCTGGTGGCTTTCTTTCCCCGCAGCTTCTTCACTGGCTTCAGTCCCAACAGTGCCTTTTGTTGCCCATGAAAAAGACGGGAAGAAAAGCCCAGCCACTGTGCAGGGGACTCTGCACCCAGACTCCCTGAGAGTTGGCAAGTTTTCTCTCTTCTAGCCTTTGAGCTTTTTGCCTCATGGCAGTAGAGGGTTTTGTTTGTTTCTTTCTTTGTTTGTTTTTTTTTTTTATTTCTTCTCCTCTTAGGTTTTCTTTATCAAAAGAGAAGAAGAAGATTACAACCAAAGCTAAAAGATCCTCCCATTTTATTCCAAGTCGGGTTAGCCACCATCTACTGGCAGTTGCAATGGTGATTAAGAATTTGTGTGTGTTGTTCCGTGGCGTGTTCTGTACGCTCTCTGAATGAGACAGTCTCTGTAAACACTATAATCTGGCCACCTTTCTTCATGCTAATGCAGGGCTCGTCCCAGAGATTTAAAGTGTGCCCCTGAATTTGCTTTCAAGCTGCATGTTGGAGCTATAGTTTAGTTCATTTGACTTTGTATGGCACTGTTATATTTGTATCTATTTCAGACCTCTTTTTGAATTTGTTTTTTTTTCCTGTTTATTCTTGTTCTTGTTGTGGGTAGCAGGAGGACTTTCAAAATTCATTTCCCTCTGTAGTAGTCTAGAGGTTACATAATTTATATCTTCCATTTTAGTGATCATTCTTACTTTTGAGCAAATATGTATAGATAATAATGTTTAAGATACATCAGAGTCTCTGTCCTTGTATCAAGACGACACACCTCCAAGGTACCTTCTGGTCTCCATTTCTTCTCCCATCTGTATTATCAGTGTCCAGTATCCTATTTATATCTTGCTTTTCAGTCTCATCCAAATTACTTCAGATTGTTGGTGATTATAATTATTTATAGTTTTTATTTGTCTACTAGCATATTTTCTTACTCAACAACCCTTCCTTCTGATTTCTGTTGCTATCTTACTACAGCATGTTGTTTAACACTCTTAGTCTATGTGAGAATATTTTTCACACATCCTCATTATATGAATTTCCTGGGGAGATGCCAATAAACTTTTACCCAACCCAGATAGACTACTGTTGGCAAACCAAAGAAACGGTTCCATCAACACCTAGCTTGGTGAACCACTGAGTTCATTGGGGTTACTTGCAAGATCATGACTGACTCAAAGGCCACTACATCTCTGGAAAAACCCACCACATTATAAATGACAGCTCATGAAATTTCAAGTCTTGAATCTCCCTACACACCTTGCAATCAAGTCCATGGAAGAGTCTCTTCTCCCCAGATATCCTTTTCTAGCCTTGGAGGTGGGGCACTTGTGAATTTTGGAACATTTGGGGTGCCAGAGCCCAACAAGTTTCATGAGTTTCCTGAATCTTTGTAATTGTCATTAGCTTCCTAAGTGGGAAGAATATTTTATCTCTGTGGAAATAGTTATACAAGGCCTCCTGAAAGATAGCCTGGACAGTGTTTTCTTTGAATAGTTTGAAGATCATATTTAATTATTTCATACTAACTTGTATTTTAACAATATGGATAAAATATTTCTAAAATTTAGACACAGTTATAATAGGTCTACACATCACTGACTTCACAGAAACGTTCACCTAAGTTTCATTGTCTTACTGAGGTTGGCACTGTTTGGAACATGAGGCTGTACTGCATTGGGACACAGTGATGTTCTTTGGAGACTGAAGTGTGTTAAATCGTGTGGCCTTTCATTAATTGTTTTAAGCCTGGTGCTTCAGAGGTCTGGGGTGTGTGTGTGTGTGTGTGTGTGTGTGTGTGTGTGTGTGTGTGTCTGTCTGTCTGTCTGTCTGTCTGTCAATACTTCTTGACACAACTGATTTACTTACATGTAATAACTCTTTCTCCAGTCAGTTGTTGCATTCCCTACCAAACTGGGCAAACACATGTAACTTAATTGGTACCATCGCTGGTAACATCTTGTTCTTTATAAATTTGTTTTATAACTACTAAGTTGTGACAAATGGCAGTCTGCTTACTGTAGAGATAGGTTCTGTAGAGAGATCATTTGGGTTCTTGTCCATCTCTGTACTTCATCCATATTACCCTAACTAGTTCCTTAACCTTTGAGCCTTAGCTTTCTCTTTAAAGTGAGGGAAAAACTATAACACTGTCTAAATAGTTGTCCACTTGAAATGAATCCATACTTATCTAACATACAGCAATATTATCTAGGTGAGATCTTTCAAATTCCATCTCAAACATTGTGTAGAATATGAAGTTCTGTACAACTGAAGTTAGAGACAAAGAGTTTTGCAGATGAAGAAGCTGTAACTTAGAGAAAGGCTGAATTAGGATGTGCTCTGTTTCTGTTCCCACAGGGCACAGGCCATAATGTGGAAGTCTATTTCAATATTTGTTTCTGCCAGAGAATAGGAGGTTTTCCAAGAGCATCAGGGAGTTATATGTGACATTGCAGAAATTGTAATGTAAATTAGGGGGTAAACATTCATTTGCTTTATAAATATTTGATTTCTTCCACCTTTTCAGAGTTTCCTGATGCTCCTGTCAAATTATGTGCATGTTAGAAAACCTGAACTTTAGCTTTGGGCTTTTCACTTACTCATGGGGTGACCATGACAAATCCTTTCAATTGCTTGTCCTTTAATTAAGCTCTTAAAGGGCAAATGTACTAATAATTATGAACTGCCTTTTAGCTAGCTTTTAAGTGCTTAAAATAACAAAGGTGATGATATTATATTTTAGCTTCGTAGCAGTTATGAATGCTTCAAATGAAAACATACAGCCTTTTATTATTATACATTAAACTTTTAGAATGAAATGAATTTTCTCATATTTAATTGTGGCTTTGCACTTTTTAGCCTTGCATATAGTTTATTCCCCATCAATTGATTCCTTTGCTCCCTTCCAACATCATAAAATTGAAGATGAAGAAGTTGAGTCATTCTCTAGTGTCATTGAGTTGAGAACTGATGGTCAGTCACACTCAGACTGAGCTCTGCCTGGCCCCAGATTCTGGAGCATGAATGCAGAGGCCACAGACTCCAGTATTTTCTGTGGTTTCCATTCTATTGAGAGAAAAACAGCAGGGAATTTGAGCATCTCATCTTTTGGGAAGAGCTCACAAGTTCTTTGTACATGTACAAACTGGCATGAGCTGCAGTGCAAGGTGAGTGTAATTATGGGTGCCCAATGCATCAGTGCCCAAAAGTGGGCAGAGTCGCCAGAAGCCCCATGAAAGGGGTCAAGATTTGATTTTAATTATAGTAGGTCTGAAGGGCAGCAGGTTCCAAAACCATTTTAATCTCAGTTACCCCTGGATCAAGTAGATGATCCTAAGCTTTTATCTGTGGCTGAAGCACTTGATTAGATGTGAGGAGGACACTCAGAAGCTCATGTTTCAGCAGTTGATGAGAATTCCTTCAGAAGCAGGCACAAGGTGAAGCTTGTGGACTTCCTCTCAAGACTGAGTTCACTCTGTTTTCTAGTCAACTTCTCCTCCATGGTTAAATTTTCCACTTTAAGAACACAAGTTCTCATTTAGTTCATACAGCCACTTCTCTCGAGGGTCCATGGAATACTAACCTTATTTGTAGGTTCGTGGTTTGACTTTTATTAGCATCGACAGAGTAGGTGTTGCCTCATCATAGCCAAGTAAGGTTGACATTATTTTTATTTCATATTACAAATGAGCAGGTTTAAGTTTAGAGAGTTTAAATATGTTGCTCCAAACCATTCAGCTAGTAAGTGGTCCAGCATGTATTAAGTACAAGCTTCTCTGGCACTGCAAATCATGTTTCCTATGACTCACACTAAGAGATTTCAGAGCAGTTGGTTGACACTTGAAAGTCATGAACAGGAGACATCCACCCACCAACAGCTCCACCACACTCAGCAGCTTTCACATTTTACATTTTGGTATCTGAAATGCATTCCTTTTGACTGATTTCTTGACTGTTTCCTCCATAAAGTATTTCTTTTAATAAATAGCCTTTTCCTTTTACAGCTGTTTACACAGACGTTTAAAATATACTAAGTTAAATGCGGTCTTAGTTTTCAGCTGCATAAATAACAGAAAATCCGGTTGATGGTGGGTGCTGGCTCTGTGGCCTCAAATGTCCAGGCTGTCATTGGTGTGATTCTTTCAGAATCTTTAGATTTGGCTCATAAGATGGGTGCTGCAGATCTAGGGCCCACCTGAAAGAGAGAAGGAAGATGCCATAGCTGGTTTGTTCTTTTTTCTTTTTTGAACCAAAGGCATGCTTTTGTGGCCTCTAACAACCTCGTGCTTAGTACTGGAGATCCTAATTGCATCATGTTTGGAGTGTAGGAGAGAGAAAATGCAGTACATACTGCAAAGACATCTACAGAAGTGACTATGGCTGTAGCGGGGAGGGACAGAAATAAGGAGTATGTGAGTGTTTTTGGCTCACCACTGCTCATAACAGAAGATGGGTCTTCCTTTATCCTTCCCAGCTGTGAGAAGGGCTTGGACATACTCTAGCATGGCCCATGTTTCAGGCCGGAATTCAGGAAACAAGATGAGCCCAGGTCTCCCTGCATGAAGGGACCTCAATGAATACTTGTTTAAAAGTTAACACATATTATTATTATTTTATTCATGCTGTTGGCAATAGTTATAAAATGTAATCATTCAAGGTTTTGCTTGGTAAGGTTATTTTAGCTATCAACTGAATTTCCGTGTTTGATTCTGTATATGATCGCTCATAACAGCAGCCATTACTTTCTAGAATTGAACATGGAGACTGGTAGGAAGTATCTGAATGTCTAATGGCCTTCTTCATTCTCATCTTCCTTTTCATCGTGATTTTTCCTTAATTTTTATTAGTTATTAATATTGTTCACATGCTCCCCAAATTAAAAGTACTTAAGTTTATTTTATTATCTGTCATTCTATTCTTTCCAGTCCTCAGGACCTTAGTTCACCTCCTTATATGGTTCTTAGCATTAATTTCTAGTCTTTTATCAGAGGAATATTATAGACATGAAATACAAATATGTTTCCCCATTCAAAAAAAACCTGCGTAAATGCTAGTAGATGCATTGTTCCAAAAAAAAAAAAATTGTTAGTACTTACTATATCATTCCATTTAATAGTTTCAAATAAATTTTCTTGATCTTTTTTCCCCCGGGCTTATTATTCTGTTTGGGGGACATCCAGAATTTCTTTAACCCACTTCTGTATTACATTATTCACATTATCCCAGCCTTTTGCAAATATAAAAGCAGTGCTGAAACACATGACCATGTGTTTGCTGTTGAGCACACATGCAGATACGTTGTTGTAAAGAGATGGGAATGCTTGGCCAATGAGGATCCAGCCTGATGAACTGGCCTCCTCAGGAGCTGGCAGGATTCACAGTTGCCTTCATTCGCAATGCCTGCAAGTACTGTCAAGTGCTGTTTTTTCCCCTCTTAAAAAGTACAGCTATGCAGGATTGTTTGGCTCGGCCTGGGAGGAGGGGACTAGACCTACCTGGACTGAGTCTACCAGGTTGACCTCAGTCTGTGGGGAAGGCTTTGCCCTGGAGGAGATGGGAATGGGGGGGGGGGGCGTTGGGGGGAAGGTGAGGGGGACGGGAGCGGGGAGAACAAGGGAATCCGTGGCTGATATGTAGAACTGAATTGTATTGCAAAATAAATTAATAATAAAAAAAAAAAAAAAAGTACAGCCTGTTACGAAAACTTCTACAACCTTTTGTTTTTCTTTCTGGCACTGAGGATCAAACCTAGGGTCTTGTGAATGCCAAGAAAGTGCTCTTTTCCCACTCAGCTCTATCCCCGGGCATTCTTCTTCTTATTATTATTTGAAACAGGGTCTCCCTGAGTTACTCAGGTTGGCTTTGACTCAAGCTTCTGCCTCCTTAGTAGCTATGGTTACACAGGCCTGTGTTACCAGTTAACCAGGCTACTTTTTTGAATCTAAGTTAAAAAAAAATTTTCTTTTACAATTAAGGTTAGGCATATTTACTTTAAAATGGGTTTTTTAATCATTTTTATTTTATTTCCACTCCTATATTTGTGCCTTTATTTTTCTATTGTGTTGCTGATTTCTAAAGGAACATCTATATTCAGAGAGTCTTCTGTGATAGAGAGGCAAACATCCCACCACCTCATAGTTTGTTGTTTGTTTTTGTTTTGCTCACGTTATTATGCTTTTGACATGGTACAAAATAAATAATAGGTAAATAAAGAAATACATAAATAAATAAAGTTTCCCAGAGTGAAATGTACCTGTGTTACTTACTTTTCATTTGTTTGTTTTATGGCTTAGGCCGGCAGCCCAGTCAGAAAGCCTTCATTTCTCTGAGCTTCTGGAAGAAGTCTGATCCGCTACCTTCACTGAGCTCTTGGGTTCAGTTTCATAGCCAGATCTCTCATCTGCATGTAGTTTTCCTGGGGAGGGCGGGCTTCAGTCCCGGACCCAGCTTTATTTGTGGCAGCCACTGGCTTGTCTGCAAGTGACTTTACAAGAACTTGGAAGTTAAGAGTGAAGACTGTCTTCCGTAATGAAGCTGTCTTCAGTAGCACCAGTGGCTGAGGGACTGATAGCAGGGAGGTCCCCTTGAATTAAAGGAGCCCTAAAAAAAACCAACCCCACCCAGTGTAGACGGCTGGCCCTGCTTCTCTTTCTTGCCTTGTATTCTTTTGGGTGAGTTGGAATGATGCAAACTTATTTCCCTCTTAGGAAAGGCACGTGGATCCCAGGGAAAGTGGAGTTGGGTATGGCATTGCTTTAGACACATGGAACTTGAGAGAAAAGCTGGGAGGAAAGGATACAGGGGTGTGGGGGTGAGAGCGTGCAGAGAAGGAACAGGGCCTTTTAAAAGTCTCTTAAAGATCCTTTGGAGTTGTGTGATGCTCAGCCCCTTTGGAGGTAGGTTTCAGTTTTACACTCTGCCTGTCACTCAGAAGCAAGTTGGCAAAGAAAGTAAGTAGACCCTCTAAATACTGACATATTTTTGATAAAAAAAAAATTTAATGGCTTTCTATCTCCTTGAATGCAGTATCACACAGAAGAAGCATTTTTTTCCCCTCCAATACTGTTATTTTGTAAAGTAACAGCAAAGCAAGGAACAGTTTGGGTCATAGGAGAGAAGGACCACATACAGAATAGCTAAGCAAGAACAGGGACCTACCTGATGTCCATGGAGGAGAAGAGGACACATAGGACATAGGACGCAGCCATGTGGAATCTTTCCCCACTCCCTCAGCAGCTCACGCATTGAGATGGCAAATATGCTCCCTTTGGTTGCTTTTACTCCTACTTCAGTTGACTACTTAGCAGAAGGAAGAGAAGAACACTTTCTTGGTGGGGAACACTGTTGGCATCAGGGCAGAGGAGTCTTCCTAGTCTGCAACCATACAGCAGGATTGGCACCCATGGATTCCTGGACTCAAATGCCAGGAGCTCCCACAAGTCGTCATGACAGCCAGAAAAATGAACACACATTTCCAAATGCTTTTGGGTACTCACGGACAGCCAGGGTCTGGTGTCCTTGTTTATAAACAGCCAGGGAAGCAAGGTATTCTTTTCTTAATTGTGGTATAAGAGAAGACAAACATAAGAAAAGGTAGTCTTTATGAAGGAAGAATTGAAAAAAGATATAAAACAATAGTGAGGGAACTGGAATAAATGTTTCTGCCACGTTTATCTGTGGTTTCTTGTGATTTTTTTTCTGAGGCCAAGAATAAGATTTCTCATAAGAATGCTTATGTGTCGCTGCATTCTAGGGTTGAAGTGACTACAGAGGCACCCTAAATAGCATCATGCATGGGTTGGAACACCGTCTCTTCAAATGGAGAGCAATCTGTTGCAAAGCAAATGTAGTTTATGATTATCCAGTAACCTGGACTCCCAAATACATTGAGTCCCTCTGCAGCAAGCGGTTCCTTCTAAGTTTTGTGGAATGGAACCCCCCTCCGATCCCATTGCCCACTTCTATAAATAGTGTACCTGACTAGAGTTTCCAAGCTGTCAGCTTTAGCTTGCCCCGCTGCTAAGCATCACCTGTTGTCTTTTTAAGTTCTGCACTAACACTTGTGGAGCATTCATGCCATACTGAAGCTGCTTTTCTACTTTATTTTTTCAGTTATTCATGGTGGACAATGGAGCAGATGACTGGAGAATAGCCATGACTTATGAGCGTATTTTCTTCATCTGCTTGGAAATACTGGTGTGTGCTATTCATCCCATACCTGGGAATTACACGTTCACATGGACGGCCCGGCTTGCCTTCTCCTATGCCCCCTCCACAACCACCGCTGATGTGGATATTATTTTATCTATACCAATGTTCTTAAGACTCTATCTGATTGCCAGAGTCATGCTTTTACACAGCAAACTTTTCACCGATGCCTCCTCTAGAAGCATTGGGGCACTTAATAAGATAAACTTCAATACGCGTTTTGTTATGAAGACTTTAATGACTATCTGCCCAGGAACTGTACTCTTGGTTTTTAGTATCTCATTATGGATAATTGCCGCATGGACTGTCCGAGCTTGTGAAAGGTAAGTTTGTTTCTTTTCCTGAGAAAATAATTTGTCATATAGTATCTTCAGAAGTGAGAGAAAGAACATGATGTGCCTGAGTTTTGAAATTTTTTACTGTCTTTTAAATATGAGTAACAAAGCTTTCCAGAAGGTTCCTGTATAGAGCTAATGCATTGATGGTTGTGTATTTTGCTTTCTGAGTTGATCAGCTCTCAACAGAGAGTTATCTTTGTAATCTATCAAAATTCAGAGTCCAGGACTTTTTGTTGTGGCTCTGTGTGGGAAATGTTAACATTGCTGAGATACTTCTGGTTTAAGTATTTATAATTATTGAAACAGGAAGTCTTGATACAACATGTTTGAACTTTAGGGGACCTGCTAAAGTAGTAAAGTTATTTGTTATCCATAGTGCCAATTTGTACTACTGTGTGCATGATTACCTGTTAGAGACTTGATGGATGCACGAACTGGTTTCTATTGAACATTCAAGAACAAAAAGAGACAGTATGTGTTTCTTGTCTGAAAAGCACTGGTATTTTAGGGGTGCACACATACTGTCTGTATTCAGAGGCTGCTCACAGAGTCTGAACCAATCAATTATATCATCAACAATGTTCACTTCATTGTTTACTAAGCAAAATACATTTATGAATGGCCTATAGAAAAAGCCACTTAATGGGTGGTGAGTATGGTTATACAACTCTGGTAGGAAATTCAAGGTGAAATTAGCGTATGAGAGATAGAACTGTTCCTTACTCTTGTGTAGAAACCTTACCCTTGTATAGAAACAAAATTTAACAACTTCACTATCCATATTGTGACAGGGTAAATCTCATTGTAGGACTCTTCCCTCCTCTTCGTAGTTTTTCTTTTTATTTTCTCTGGAATAAATAGTACTTCCTTTCCTTTCCTTTACTTTGTTGTTTTGATTTTTTTGTTTGTTTGTTTGCTTAGATTTTTTTTTTTTGCTTCTGGCTCAGTTTTGTATATTCTTACAATGGAATCATCTCTAAGCCTTACCTCGTTCTGTAAGCCTCCCTCTTTCTCTTAAAATATATTGAGCTTTCCTACATTTTCCCCTTGAAACAGTGGCTTTTAGAACCTTTTTTTTCTTGCTGTGTCATGTTGGAGAGTTTGCTGTTGTTGTTGTTTTTTGTTTTTCCTCTGTGAGTGTGTGTGTGTCTGTATTGTGTGTGTGTGTGTGTGTGTGTGTGTGTGTGTGTCTGTATATGTGTATGTGTGTGTGTAGTACCTCTTATTTTTTACTTATGCTTTTATTTATTTATTTACTGTGGGTGACCACATTTTGTGATAATTTCTAAGAAAATGCAGTATGTGAGAGAATGACCTTGACAACATGGCAGTCTGTATTCCCAGATGATGTTAATGAACAGTGTGGCTAGATACAAATATTCCAGATTGGAAAGTCATTCTTCAGAAAAGTGAAGAATTTCATTTCCCTTTGTGTTCAGAGTCCCTCAGTCTGATTCTATTCTCATTTTAATCTTTTTCTTTTTCTTTCTGAAAGCCTCCAGGATTGGCATTCTAAACTGTACAAGGTTATGAATCTGTTTCAGTCTATGATACTGGGAACTTTCTTGGCCCATTCTGTTGTGAGAATTTTGATTGCACTGTGACAGTCTTGAATCAGGGGGCAAAGCTAGCGACTAACTGACCAGAACTGGCCATAGAGAAGCCAGCAATTTGGATAGAGAAGACACACTGGGAGGAAAGGGTGGGGACTTGAGATTGGCTTTTCCTTTTGGTTTTGGGACAAGTGAGGAAACATCTCTTGCTGGGTCTCCAGCCAAAAATCAAGGTCAGCTGATTGCTTCTCGGCTTCTTTGATCTAACAGGTTTTTCACCACAAATCTGACTTCTGAGTCTTTGTTGATAAATCGAACGACAGAGACTTAGATTAAGCTACAAATAGCAGCCATGGCATAGTCCGGCCATTGGACCCAAAGGACCTCCTGGCCATGGCCTGAGTGGTCAGCGGGGTGTTCCCTATGGGACTGTGGGGCTGCAGATGATAATTAAAATATCAGTAGATTCATGTACAGCCACTAAGCTGTAAGAAAAACATCACCATTCAGCAATGGGATTCTTGTTCTTCAATTCTGAGAAAGGAAACTGATTTCTTAAAGCTCCTGGATTTTGTTGTGTGGATAACTGTCTCCATATGTTAGTTTTTTAATTTTTTCTTATTTTCTGTCTATGCTTTGCTTTCCATGTTGGAAGACAACTTCGGTTTTATTTCTAAGCTTTCTGTTAGGGATTAGGGGTATACCTCAGTGGTAGAGCCTTTGTCTAGCAGAGTTGGGCTCTGGATGCAATCCTCATTATGGTGAAAGCAAACAAACACGTAAACATGATTTTGTTTTTGGAATTAACGTTTTCCCTGCTGTTCATTAAATTCCAGTGTCTACTTTTTGACCCCATGTGCTCATTTGTGTCTGATAGCCTCCCACTTCTCTTTTGCTGTTCTATAGGGTTGTATTTATCTGACAATGTTAAGGGTGCTTTTAGAATTCGTTTCTCTTTGTATTTTGTTTGTGTCCCCAAAGATACATTATTTTCTTTTTTTGGCTGCTGTTTTAGAAGCTTTCCTTAAATGCCTGGGTGTCCTTGGCTGCATGCTCATACTGAGGAGCTCATGTGAAAGAGTCCGTTGGAAGCTTTAGGTTTCTGTCTAGAACTGGCCAACTGTGGCCTTCACTGGAGGGAGATTTGGTTGACAGGTGGGACTAGCATATTTTATATATCCTCTGAAAAATCTGACCACCCCGTGAGCTCATCATTGGAGCCAGAGTATGGATGGCTTCTTTGTGGGAATTCCTGTGAAAGCAGTGGAGTTCTAGTCAGGGTGTGTTCGACTCACTCAGCCAGTTCACAACCCTGCTCTGTTCTCTCCTGACTACAAAAGTCCAGAGTCTACAAGCCTGGCTAAGGGCAGCCCTCATTCCCAGAGCAGAAGAAAGGGTTATGTGTCTCTGTGCAGCCTTTGGCTGTCTTCTCCCATTTAAAGCTTGGCCATGTTCCTACCTGCAGTGGGCCGGTGTGGACCGTGCTGGAGTCATATGGGGGCAGGTCCCCAGTGTCCTGAGAGATGCTTCTGTTTAAACTCTGATCTAGAGTTCTGCTTTCTTGAGTCAGTATGAGATCAGCTTTCTGATATATTTAGTTCTGTGTTGCCTGCCACTCACTCATTTTATCTTTATGGATTTATACTTTTTTTTCTTATTTGCTTAAAGTTATCTATAGTCATTCTTAGAGGGTTAAGAGAAGGAGCCACAAGGAGCATGCATGCTGGATGAGTTCATCTGCTTTTCTGCAAATTTGTCTGTGGTGAGGCTTTAAAATCGTGCATCTGAATCTTTCTGGAACTTCTCTACCTAAGTATAGGTATAGCATTTGAGGGATTAAAGTGTTCCCTTTGTTTTTGGTTAATTTTTGCTATATTGGGAATCAAACAGCATTTGCTCAACAAGCATTCTACTACAAAGCTCACTTCTCTAGTTCTTTTTAAAGAAAAGTAAACTGCTTAAGGTAATTCTTGTCACCTAGCAATCATGGTATTTATGGGCTTATGATGTTTTCTGCAGCAGATGTACCTACCAAGTTGAAGAACGACTATTAAAAACTTAATACATATACCTATTCAGATTCTAAAGATTAAACCAATATTTCTGCATAGCAGTGTGACTGTGGTGGGTAAAAGCATCCTTACTAATATTTGCATAAATTTGGGTGGTCTCTACTGTGATTGTTTCCAAAGACCAATTTAAGTCACCTCAAAATTGTTCACCTGCCATGCGTTTTCTTTTTTTTTTTTTAAATGGTTCATATCACCATTTTTACCCTAAGTATAGAAATTCTGGGGCAAGCTGTGCCACCTGACAGCAGAGCAGCCCAAAGGATGTGTGTTTTTTTGTCGGGCTGGAATTGTGAGATGATAGCCACTCCTCTCTTCATCAACAGGCAAGGGAAAGAGAAAGTGTCCCCTGCACCATGAAAAGGAGTCTACAGGCAGGAGTAACAGAAGCGAATCAACAGATCTTTGGTTTTTGTGGGAAAGGAGACAAATGCCAGACTCAGGATTGCAACCGCAAGCCTGAGTCCCAGCTTGCATTTTAGAGGGTGGGTGACCTCAGGCTAGGCACATTACTGCTTCTTGCTCATCTTTCTTCATTTGCAAGCTAAATGGTTTGAGTAGTTATTATTTAGCTTAACATTTTATAATTACACAAATGTGAAAAGACATAAAATCATTACCCAACACTTTGATAGATTTTCCACAGTTGAATTTTTTTTTTCAGCAAATTTCCCATTTCGCTTTGGAAAATCTCCAGATTGTGACTTTTAGATGCAAAGACATGTATCTGTTGGGACTGGGCTCCACTATCCTGCATCTTGATTGGTTGTGGTTTTCTGTAATGGTCTCTCTGTTGGAAAGGGACGTTTCCTTGATGACGGTGATGCCTACATCCATCTGTGGGTATAAGGACAAACATTTAGAATGTAGTTAGGGATTATTCTGCTTCAGTGAAGTGGCTGTTGTAGGTCTTCCTCCAAGATTGTGTGTCCTACAAATGTCATAAGCTACAGCCATAAAATCTCACCAGCACAGCTCTCCAAAATTTGAGCTGAACAAGGATGACAGTAGACATTCTGATGTGCACAGGGAAAAGCCCTGAGGCCTCAACCCTACACAAGGAACTATAGGCAACTAAGGAACGCTGAGAGCCGGAGAAATAGTCTTCTCTGGGAAGATCACACCAATTGGTTATCCAATACCACTGGCCAGCCCCAGGAACACACATACAAGTAGTAGTATACAGACCGAGCAGGCCGTATTTAAGAATATTTATGTGTATACATATACATATATGTATGTGATAACAATTAATGAAAAAAAGGCCACTATTTTGAACAAGAGCAAGATGGAGTAAATGGACAAGTTTGGAGGGAGGAAAGGGAAAAGTAAAATGATACAATTACACTATGGTCTCAAAAAA